CTTGCATCTGGCTCTGCAGATTGCACTGTAAAATTATGGGATGTAACTACAAGTTCAAAGGTCTCAAAGACTGAAGAAAAGTAAGCTCGTCCCTTATTACCTCTTCTCTGAATGGAGCTTTTTGGTAATGTTTGTGGAGATTTGACATTTCATTGGTTTGAATTAGCAGAAGTGGAAACCCAAACAGACTGAGATTGTTAAAGACATTGCCAACCAAGTCAACACCAGTCTACAGCTTGCGGGTAAGTGAGCAAATGCCACAATTATTTTCTATGCAATTACTCGCTCACTGCATGGGATCTAACTGTTTCAATATTTTGAGGACAGTTCTCTCGAAGAAATCTACTATTTGCGGCTGGAGCTTTCTCTAAGAACACGTAGAGCATTGATCGAGTTGTGAGATGTTATTCAAAAGCTGCGGAGTTGTCAGCAGTGGTTGGAATCGTGGACTGCAATTGCACCTTGAAACAGTGTATTATTGATTTGCTGGCTCTGTTTATTACGTACGGGTTTTGCTGGTTGTTTACATACATTCAGACATTAAAATTGTATTATTAACTCATTCAGGAGAAATCGTAATGATGTGTGTACTTGGCCATAATAAATAAGACTTAAAAAAGTAGAAATTCAAGATGAGTTGTGGCACAAATTGTCATATGATGTATTAGGAAACAGAGAAAAAGATGACCCATAACGTCATGGATGATTGAATTTACTTTATTTACTTTTTGGGAACAAGAATGATTGAATTAATCACTCTGAAAAACTAAAAAGTAAAATGTAGTAATTTTGAGATTACTGTATTCATTTTCTATGTTAAATATTAATATCTTAAAATTTTTAAATATTATATTTACTTAAATAATAAAATTAAATTAGTAAAAATAAAGTGCAAATTGACAGCCATTGTAGAGTTGCAAATCAAGCAGAGGGTTTACGAGGGGGGATCATTGTTTAGTTTTTGCAGAATTCAAGGTATTAACTGCGAGTCACACAAAATCAAGTTAACTTACACGCAGTAAATAACAAAAAGTGTTGTACTTTCGGAAAAGAAACAGCTAAGTGACAAAATGATGATGGTGAGATGGTACTTGCCATTTCAAAAAGATGATCACCTTTTTTTATAAATAAAAAATAAAAGAAAATCTAAATTGATGGCTACGTCAGCGGATTAAATAAACTGTTCAATATATTATTATGAAATAGACCATATTACCGTTAAGATTATACTATTTAGTGATTTTAAAACCTCAACAGAAGAAGTCAATGTAGTCAAAACCCTCTTCCTTTGTAGGGAGAAGAGATGATGATTACTGGAGAGTCAAAATCCAAAATATCTACGCGTACGAACGATCGAATCCCTCTTCACCAGCGTCTCCTTCCTTTTTAGCAAGGTACACTTTTCTACGACTTCTCAATATTGTTGCTGATTAATTTGTACTATCATCGTACTATATGCTTCTTTATCTCTCTCTTTTTTAAACAATAACTAATTATAGAAAATCAAATTTATATAGTACGAACAATCAACATTTGATTAATTTGTAAATTTTGGAGGTATTAACACACAAAAATAGTCGATCCACTATCAATCTTAACAAATTCTAGTTGTAGGATTTGATTCACAATCTCAATGTCATTTTTTCCTCGGAATCAGAGCATTGAAATACAAACTCTAGCTGGGCTAAATTCAATTGATAGTTCATTCTCACGCGAGAAATTTGGAAAGATAAGTAAACCAAGAAGCAGGATGAGAAGAATTGTTCTTCATTGATTCAAGAAAAAGCAAAAGCAAACTAGAATTAGAATGAATTAGGAACCGTTGTCAAGGAAATATCATAACGTATATGCTCATATACATATACGGCTGTTGAGTCCAACAGTTGATTAGAAACATAGCTGTTATTGTTCACAGATTAACATCCTCTTTCGTAATAGATAACAATTTGCTAACTAGGTTAGGAGACTATCAAATGAGAAAACTATGTAATTGCTTCATTTGATTGGCAATCTGTTGAGAGCTAATTGTACACAGATAAAATTGTCAAAAACAACCAATGAGTTCCCTTCCATTAAATTACGGCGGGAAAGAAGATACATATTGACATAAATGTATAATAGCATGGAGAGAGCATCTCAGCAGCTTAGATATTTCATATTCTCTGAAAAACCAACACCTGCAATCAAGACAGAAAAAGATCATCAGAGTTTCGTACTCTTGCTTTCAAAAAAAAATTCTCCAAACTAATTTAGTATTTCAAAGTAGTTAAACCATGGGAGCAAATGGAAAAATATATTCAGGATTCAGCATAAAAGGGAGAGGTTTTAAGTGATTGTTTTGAAATTTGATAGATCCACAATAATAGTTTCAATTCTCCGTATGCCTTCCCAACTTATTTTTTTAGTGAAAAGAAAGAAACAATTTAATTAAAGAGTGGTTGCAAGATACCACAACAAAAAGGTACAAATAGTAATCCATAATTAAGACACCTAAAAACATGTGAATGAGATACAAAATAGGACATGACTAAAAAAAAACAGCCTAAAAAGAGCTGAACACAGCGGATCATTATAAAACTTGTTACATGTTCCAAGACTACAAAATACAATTAACAACCAAGCCCCTCAAGCCAAAACAAAGAAGGGTGTCCCCATCACAAAATTATACCTCCATTTGTTGGGAAAAAAAAACCTGACAGCTTCTACAAGCTTCAAAACATATGTTGTCTTGTTTAACACATCTTCGAATACTTTAACTACACAGCTTATGGTGTATGCCTACTTAACTTAAGTGCATGAAAATAATAATAACATAAAAGATTCTTTTTTAAAAAAAAAAGAATTATTGAAGATCTGGAAGAGTCTTAACGAACAAAAAAACTTATTTGGCCTCTTAAGCTCAACAAAGCTTTTTATATAATAAAATAATTTGCCTATATAATTTCTTTGTTTACCTAAAAATTGACATCAATATAACATTAGGGAAAGCCTCAAATCCAACATCTACCATAACCTGCAAATGATACACTACTATGCTATAATCTTCAAGCAAGCATGCATGAGAATGCTTGGATGATGGAGTACTTGAGCACTCTTCTAAGCATATTTTGAGGGCTATCAACGCTAATGCTCCCGACGTTGATTCCTTTCGAAATTTCTACTATGGAGATTTTATTTATTTATTCCATAGTTTTGAGAGGTATCGTTAGCGAGTACTAAATCTTGACAAAAATATATAGAAATCTATACTTGAATTTTTTCAAATAGTATATTGACCAATCCCCAAGAGCCATGCTTCCTAGATGAATAGTGAGTCTTATGGTGTGGAAATCAAAGGCCTCAATTTGTGAAATAAGTGAAAGAAAGTAAATTAAATGCCAAGTTTTTTCTTAATATGGATTCTCCAACAATCAAGTCAATAAACAAAGTATAGAGAAAGTGGAATGCTTGATAAAAAGATCTCAGGGAAGGTTAGGCTTGCCAAAGATCAACCTTCTTGTAAATTGAAGTATATTTATAAAGCATGAGTGAGAAAGCAAATGGTGAGACGAAAGAAACAAACCAGGAAGTACAAGCTATAAGCTACAATGTCCATCTAACATATTTGGGGAATTTTTGTTGACATCATAATATCCTAAAATTAGATGTCCAGGAGCAACAATTTGAGTTTTATGCCAACCTGCCGTTAATATAGAAAATAAGTGGAGATATGCTAGTCAATTTTAATCTCCTCAATAAGATCCTATTAAAGGATACTCCATTTGACATGAACCTTGGCGAGGTGATAGGCCAACCATTGGTAAGAAACTATATTGGCAAGAAAATATATTTGTGTGAGAGGGGCATGTAGTGTTCTCTCTAAAATGGCAAAGATTTCTAAAAACCCTATATTTGATACGTGTTTTGTGATAACGAATCATTTAGTTAAC